TTGACTGAGCAGGGATGGGGACAGGTTGGAGGGATGTAGGTGAGCTGAACATGGGCTCTGGTCCTGGGGTCTTGAAGGAATTTGAGGCTCTCTCTCTTGTAAACTCTATGAACCCTTGAAGCCCTTGGAAACTGCCAGGACCCCAGTGGCTGGGCAGGGCAAGGCTGACTCCCTTGCCAGGGCAGCTTGGAGGTGGGGACCCTGGGACCCTTGGAGATTCTGTGGGTAGACCTGGTGATGTAGAGGCAGAGGCTGAAAGGTGGTTATTTGTGGCCAGATGGGAGAAAGGACAGGCTTTCAGGCTGCTTGCCCCGGGGTTAGTGTAGAGGACACCACTAGGTCTGTCGGGAGGCCGTAAAGGTACTGACTTCAGCACCTCCTCAGTTCCACCTGGGACCAACTGCGAGCTCAGAAGGTAAGAGCACCCGGGGCTGGGGGTTGGCCCTCTACCTGGCCCTCTGCTGTATGCTCCACCCTACCATCCGAGACCCGCTGCTCCGAGGTCCGCTGCTCCGAGGTCCGGTGCTCCGAGGTCCGCTGCTCCGAGACCCCCTGCTCCGAGACCCGCTGCTCCGAGGCCCGCTGCTCCGAGGTCCGCTGCTCCGAGGTCCGGTGCTCCGAGGTCCGCTGCTCCGAGACCCCCTGCTCCGAGACCCGCTGCTCCGAGGCCCGCTGCTCCGAGGTCCGCTGCTCCGAGGTCCGGTGCTCCGAGGTCCGCTGCTCCGAGACCCCCTGCTCCGAGACCCGCTGCTCCGAGGCCCGCTGCTCCGAGGTCCGCTGCTCCGAGGTCCGGTGCTCCGAGGTCCGCTGCTCCGAGACCCCCTGCTCCGAGACCCGCTGCTCCGAGGCCCGCTGCTCCGAGGTCCGCTGCTCCGAGGTCCGGTGCTCCGAGGTCCGCTGCTCCGAGACCCCCTGCTCCGAGACCCGCTGCTCCGAGGCCCGCTGCTCCGAGGTCCGCTGCTCCGAGACCCGCTGCTCCGAGGTCCGCTGCTCCGAGGTCCGGTGCTCCGAGGTCCGCTGCTCCGAGACCCCCTGCTCCGAGACCCGCTGCTCCGAGGCCCGCTGCTCCGAGGTCCGCTGCTCCGAGGTCCGGTGCTCCGAGGTCCGCTGCTCCGAGACCCCCTGCTCCGAGACCCGCTGCTCCGAGGCCCGCTGCTCCGAGGTCCGCTGCTCCGAGGTCCGGTGCTCCGAGGTCCGCTGCTCCGAGACCCCCTGCTCCGAGACCCGCTGCTCCGAGGCCCGCTGCTCCGAGGTCCGCTGCTCCGAGGTCCGGTGCTCCGAGGTCCGCTGCTCCGAGACCCCCTGCTCCGAGACCCGCTGCTCCGAGGCCCGCTGCTCCGAGGTCCGCTGCTCCGAGGTCCGGTGCTCCGAGGTCCGCTGCTCCGAGACCCCCTGCTCCGAGACCCGCTGCTCCGAGGCCCGCTGCTCCGAGGTCCGCTGCTCCGAGACCCGCTGCTCCGAGGTCCGCTGCTCCGAGGTCCGGTGCTCCGAGGTCCGCTGCTCCGAGACCCCCTGCTCCGAGACCCGCTGCTCCGAGGCCCGCTGCTCCGAGGTCCGCTGCTCCGAGGTCCGGTGCTCCGAGGTCCGCTGCTCCGAGACCCCCTGCTCCGAGACCCGCTGCTCCGAGGCCCGCTGCTCCGAGGTCCGCTGCTCCGAGGTCCGGTGCTCCGAGGTCCGCTGCTCCGAGACCCCCTGCTCCGAGACCCGCTGCTCCGAGGCCCGCTGCTCCGAGGTCCGCTGCTCCGAGGTCCGGTGCTCCGAGGTCCGCTGCTCCGAGACCCCCTGCTCCGAGACCCGCTGCTCCGAGGCCCGCTGCTCCGAGGTCCGCTGCTCCGAGGTCCGGTGCTCCGAGGTCCGCTGCTCCGAGACCCCCTGCTCCGAGACCCGCTGCTCCGAGGCCCGCTGCTCCGAGGTCCGCTGCTCCGAGACCCGCTGCTCCGAGGTCCGCTGCTCCGAGGTCCGGTGCTCCGAGGTCCGCTGCTCCGAGACCCCCTGCTCCGAGACCCGCTGCTCCGAGGCCCGCTGCTCCGAGGTCCGCTGCTCCGAGGTCCGGTGCTCCGAGGTCCGCTGCTCCGAGACCCCCTGCTCCGAGACCCGCTGCTCCGAGGCCCGCTGCTCCGAGGTCCGCTGCTCCGAGGTCCGGTGCTCCGAGGTCCGCTGCTCCGAGACCCCCTGCTCCGAGACCCGCTGCTCCGAGGCCCGCTGCTCCGAGGTCCGCTGCTCCGAGGTCCGGTGCTCCGAGGTCCGCTGCTCCGAGACCCCCTGCTCCGAGACCCGCTGCTCCGAGGCCCGCTGCTCCGAGGTCCGCTGCTCCGAGGTCCGGTGCTCCGAGGTCCGCTGCTCCGAGACCCCCTGCTCCGAGACCCGCTGCTCCGAGGCCCGCTGCTCCGAGGTCCGCTGCTCCGAGGTCCGCTGCTCCGAGACCCGCTGCTCCGAGGCCCGCTGCTCCGAGGTCCGCTGCTCCGAGGTCCGCTGCTCCGAGACCCGCTGCTCCGAGGCCCGCTGCTCCGAGGTCCGCTGCTCCGAGGTCCGCTGCTCCGAGACCCGCTGCTCCGAGGCCCGCTGCTCCGAGGTCCGCTGCTCCGAGGTCCGCTGCTCCGAGACCCGCTGCTCCGAGGCCCGCTGCTCCGAGGTCCGCTGCTCCGAGGTCCGCTGCTCCGAGACCCGCTGCTCCGAGGTCCGCTGCTCCGAGGCCGGCTGCAGCTGGACGGGCAGCGGCTGGACCCAGGAGCCCGGCAGCGCGGGGCAGCCGACCCTGGCCGGTGCGGACGGTGACAGAGCGGCCTGACCGGCTGGGGCGCTGCGCCTGACTCCGAGAGGCCCCGACCCGGGCACGCGGCAGCATCGCCGGTCTGCGCCCAGGGAGGCCCTGCGCGGGCCCCGGTCTTCCGAACGGATGGGCGGTGCCTTAGAGCTGCTGCCGGCCGAGGGCCCAGACCCGGCCCGGGGCCGCTGCGTGCGCTGGGGTTCCCGGGAGCGCCGGGCTCTCTTCTTGCAGGCGACACCGCACCGCGACATCAGCCGCCGAGTTGCCGCCTTCGGCTTTGAGCTGCGTGAGGCCCGGCGTCCCGAAAGGCCTCCCCAGGCCCAAGGTCTTGGTGTGGATGGTGCCCGAAGGCCCTGCGGCGATGCCGAGCTCCTTCTGGCTGCTTGTGACTTTGTGATTCATGGGACCGTCCATGGAGTCACCCAGGACATCGACCTGCAGGAGTCCGTCATCACCGTGACCGCCATCCGTGTCATCCGCCAGCCACTGCCACTGTTCCAGGTGAGTGGGTGAGGCTCGGAGGGCCAGAGCCAGGCCTCCATTCACACCCTATTGCGCTGTGGTGTGGGTCCTGGCCCAGGCTCCTTCCTCTTCATGGGCTGGAGTCGCTTTGGGGAGGCCTGGCTGGGCTGTGCCCCTCGCTTCCAGGAGTTCAGTCGTGTCTATACAGCTGCCCACACAGCCCACCTCAACCCATGTGAGGTGATGCTGGACTGAGCAACCTGGGAGCAGGGTGCTAGGGAGTGGTAGTAGGAGGGTGGGTGGGAAGGGAATGGCCCAGATGACATCTTGGTGCCCACAGCTGAAGTGATAGGGTACTAAATAAGAACTGTATCACACCAAAAAAAAAAAAAAGTCACATTTCCAGCAGGGCACAGTGGCAGGAGCCTGTGACCCAGCCGGAGGGTGGTTCGGCACTTTGGTGGTTGAGGCAGGAGGATCATGAATTCAAAGACAGCCTGATACATAGTGAGACTCTGTCTCAAAAGGAAAAAGAAAAGAGAAAGAAAGGAAGAAAAAGAAAGGAAGGGAGGGAGGGAGGAAGGAGTTGTCAGAAAAAAGTGATGGGGAGATGTGGGAGGTGTTGGAGGAT